CAAGTAACAATCTGATCCAAATTGCTTGACATGCAACATATGATCCGGTTATATATTCAGCTTCACACGACGATAATGCCACCACAGGTTACTTTTTCGAGCACCATGAGATTGGAGCACCAAATACTTGAAAGAAATATCCAGTCGTGCTTCTTCGATCTTCCTTATCTCCATACCAATCAACATATGAAAAACAAGTAAATGTAGCTTCTTTGCTTTCAGAGTCTTGTCAAAATAGTATTCCATATTTTATCGATCCTTTTAAGTATCCAAGGATTCTTCTTCCAGCCTTCAGGTGTGACACCATTGGTTCACTCATGTATCTGCTTACTAATACGACTGTGAATCCTATATCAGGCCGGCTGTTGCACACATACCTCAGAGATCCAACTATTTGCTTGAACAAAGTTACATCGACTTTGTCTTCCTCTCCATGTTTCTCCAACTTCACATTTGGTTTGACAAGTGAGGATGCAGGATTCGAATTATCCATTCTGAATCTCTTGAGTGTCTCTATGACGTACTTCTTTTGATGTAGCACCATACCTTACTTCGACATTTGAAATTCCATGCCCAGGAAATAAGATAATTTTCCCAGATCCGACATTTCAAATTCCCTCTTCATCAACTCTTTGAACTTTGACAAATTCTCCAAGCTATTTCTAATTACCAGAAAATCATCGACATATAAGCAGATAATTGTTATATCTTATGCTACAGCTTGAACATAGACACCATAGTCACACTTGCATTTCATAAATCATAATTCAACTAAGTATGAGTCGGTCTTCTTGTTCCATGTCCTAGGTGTCTACTTGAGGCCATAAAGCACTTTGTGAAACTTATATACTTGTTTCCTTCTGAACAATAAACCTTGTAGGTTGTGTGACATAGACCTCTTCGTCTAAAGAACCATTCAGAAATGCTGATTTCACATCTAAATGAAATATCGACCAATCTTGGTTGCATGCCAATGCTAACAATAGTTGAACAATCTTCAATCTTGCAACTGAAGAAAATACTTCATAGTAGTTACGTCCTTCTCTTTGAAGAAAACCTCGAGCTACTAATCTTGCTTTATGTCTTGCTATCGGCATTGTGTTTCAACTTGAACACCCACTTTACTTCGATATCTTTGGTATGTGTTGGAAATTTGACTAACTCCCATGTGTTATTTCGTTCGATTGCTTGTAACTCTTTGACCATTGCTAACTTCTATTGTTTAATCTTCAAAGCTCTACTATAGTTGATGGTTCAGTATCTGCAAGTAAAGCAAAATGAACTAATTCTCCATCTAGTGTGACTTCACCATCACCAACCACTTCATAATCATGAAGTCTTGCTGGAAGAACTCTAGTTTATTTAGGTCTTTAGCTTGTGCTTGCCACACCCTCTTTGACTTCAACATTGTCAGGATCAACAACTACTTCAACTGGAATACTTTCAATTTCTTCTACTTCGACTTCATCAGTTTTTTCATCGAAACCATAGCTCATCAATGTCTTGTTAATTGCATCATTAGAATTCCAATCCAAGGCAGAATTTTCATCAATCACAATGTATCGACTCAACACAATGTTCTCATTAATTGGGTTGAATAGCTTGTATGCACCAGTTTTGTGATATCCCACCAGAATCATAGGTTCACTTTTGTCATCAAGCTTCCTTCTCCTTGCATCAAGAACATGCTTGTAACACGTAGAGCCAAACACCTTTAGATGAATCACTGAAGGTCATTTCCACTCCATACTTCTTCAGGAACCCTATTCTTCAATTTCTTGGTAGGGCACCTGTTCAGGATATAAATTGTAGTTGAAATAGCTTCTCCCCATAAGAAGTTTGACAAATTCTTCTACTTCAACATACATCTTGCCATATCCAATATGACTATGTTTCTTCTTTCTGCAATTCCATTATTTTGAGGCGTATAAGGAGCAATTACCTCATCATCAACGCCATGTTCTATACAAAAATATTAAAACATCTTGGATGTGTATTCACCACCTCCATTTGTTCGCAGAACTTTGATCCTCTTATCACTCTAGTTTTCGACAAGTATCTTGAATATCTTAAAGATTTTGAATACTTCGTCCTTTCTCTTGATCACATAAATTCACAACTTTCAATTATACTCATCAATAAACGAAACAAAATAATTGTTTCCACCAATGGTATGTTCTTCAAATGGGCCACATACATCTGAATATACCACTTTGAGAATGTAGGATGATCTCATTGGAATAGTCGAGACGAAGGAATTTCTGGATTTCTTTTCGACTAAACAACCTTCGCAGAGTTTGTCGGGCATCTCAAGACTTGGAATATCAGTAACAGTAGTAATCAGTTGATTGAGTGATTGAAAATTCAAATGTCCAAACCTCAAATGCCACAACCACCTATCCTTTTGGTTGAAAAATTTTTTTAGACATTGTACCTCAGTCGAATTGATCATGGTCTTAAATATCCCGTCCTTCGACAAGGGAGATTTCAAGATCGCATTGTTATGGGTGTCAAAAAATTTTAAAGCTCTATATTTCATGACAACGGAGAAAACTTTTTCGACTAATTGTCCAACACTTAGCAGGTTTCACTTTATTCCAGGTACATAGAGCACATCTTTGATCATAGCTTTCCCTCCATTACTCATTTGAAAAACTATGTTTCTAGTACCTTCTTCTTGAGACGAACTATTATCAGCAAGTTTTACCTTGCTTTTCTACGACTCATCGAAATCTGTCAACCACACCTTTTGACCAGTCATGTGATTCGAGCAGCATGAGTCGAGGAACCAGATCTTGGATTCGACATGGTTATCTGCAACTGCAGCCATAACGACCATACCTTCAGAATCATCTAAATTTTGGTTTGCAAGGTTCGCTCCTTCGTCCTTTCCTGTCGATCCCTTGTCTTTCATGTAAAATAATTCTTGGCGAATTAAACCCACTTTTCACAATTATAACACTGCACACCTTTTTTTCTTCTTTATCCTTTTGATAGTTTTCTTTTCCTCTTTTCGAGGATTCAGAAGCCCTATCATCAACCTTATTCTTGTGGGAATTCGACCAATACTTCTTGCCCCGAGTCTTGTCGAACTTGCCTTTGAATTTGTTGGAACTACCATTCTTTTTTCATGATTGAGCCTATAGAGCTTGTATCGAGTCTTGAACTTATTTCTTTTCAACAATTCTAATCTCATGTGCTTCCAACAATCCAACCAAATCTTCCAGTTTTAGGGTTTCAAGTTGATTTGATTCTTGAATAGCTACGATAACATTATCAAAGTGAGAGGTCAACGTATGCATTACCTTCTCAACTATCATCTTATCAGTTAGGGTTTCACCATAACCCTTCATGAGATGGAGGAGTTTATGAACCTTCGACAAATACTCTGCAATCTTTTCGTCTTCTCCTATTGACAACAGTTCATATTATCGATGTAAGCCTTGCAACTTGAAAAACTTGACTTTTTCACCTCCTTCATAGTACTTGATAAGAATATCACATGTCTCCTTCGTCGATTCAGCATGAGAGATCCTGTCAAAGTTCGCCGCGTCGACCGCCATCTGAATGCAATACACAACCTTATAATCCTTCTTCTTGGATTCATTGTGGGCTATTTTCTAGACGTCGGTTGCATCTGCAGCCAGCGCAGGAATGTCGTCGATACCAACTTCTAGGATTTCATGAAAGCTAAACAGAGATTGCATCTGTTTTCTCCATCGAATTTAATTCTTGTCGTCAAGAGTTGAAAGAGAATTCAGAATGCTATTGTTACCATTAATCTTCGCAACTATTGCTAGTGAACAACCCACAATCCCGAAAATACGATCTTTGACGTGTAATTCTTGAAAACACGATCAAGAATCTAACCGGAACTCTAGATACCAATTTATTAGTGCGTGAGACACTTTTAGTGAGAAGAGAAAATAAAAAAAATAAAAATTATATATTATTAATAATACAGACTAATCTATTTATATCCAACTAACTTATACACTAAATAAACTAACAAATCTTAATTGAACTTGAGTTTGAATAAAACAATTTAAATTATATCTAATATTTTACTTAATATTTCAACACATACCACATTAAACCGACCATAATCTTAGTTACAATACTTCTTGAAATTATCTCACATATAATCTTTAACAAGAACAATATAAAAAAAGTTATTGGTACAAAATGAAATGAAATAACACGACTGCTCACATGAATACAACTTTTTTATATAATAATGAAATAAGAAGAGTCTTCTCTCTCTCTCCCTCTTTTTATTTTTATTTGTTACCAATAGTAAATATATAAAGATTAATAAAACAAGATACTAAGATCATCCAATAAGAGAACAATATAAGTAGAAGTGTATATAATACTACAATACTAAAATTTTTAAACAATATAAGTAATACTTCTCAGTAGATACTACTAAGTAACATGTATTAGAGATTATAGAAGCTCTAATAATCTCAGTTAAAACAACTTAGTTCACGGTTGTGCAAGTCTATTTCAAATCTATCCGACTAAAATAGCACAAATTCAAATTTATAATATTTCATTTATTCATTTTTAAAAAATAAAATTTATTTCTTTACACTAATGAAAATAAAAACAAAATACTAATATAATTTTATATTTTTATTCATTACGATGATGGTACAAAGACGTTTAAGTCTATTACTTAAAAATTGGATAGTAATTCCCTCAAGCTTATTTCATTTATAGTTTATGATCTAAAATTATGAGTGGTTAACAATAACTTGATGTATACATATACTTTTTGGATCTTTAGGGCCGATTTTACGATGCATCTACGAACCCGGCCAATTTTTTAATGCACCTACAAATCTAAATTCTCTAAGGCCGATTTTATGATGCATCTAGAAATTCATATTTTTTTCAGTCAATTTTATAATGCATTTTTGAACTTAAATTCTGTAAGGTCGATTTTATGATGCATCTACGAACCCAAATTTTTTACGATCGATTTTATAATACATCTACATAGACACCGGAGTTACGAGGGTGCGAAAACCCGCTACATCTTGAAGTTCTCCAACCTTAATAACCAATTCACCTACCTTCTCCACCACTTCCATTAGCAAAAACACCAAACTTGCAATTGCTACCCTTTCATCATTCTCAAATTCTTCAACCATGGAAATAGAAATCACCAAACTCAACTCTTCTCTAGTTGTTTTCAAGTTAGTTATAATGTTGTCCCTTTCTTCACATTTCCTCATTTGTTTCATGCTATCTCCAACTTCTCGTAGAGTCCATACAACATTTGACCCAATTGTTTCACACTGCTTCAAAGATGCTGTGGGCTTAACACACAAAAAAAGGATTAATTAGCCCACCAATTTTTTGTCATTTTGCATACATATTAATTACCAAAAATATTTTAACTTCAATTGAATGTAAAATAAATAAATATATACCTTTTTTGAGGCATGGATGCAACATTGCAACGCAAGAATAAGTGCAGCTAGTTCTCGAAGAACTTCTCCAATTTTTAAGTACTTTTCCCATGGATAGGAAAATCCAAATTTTCCATGCCAAGGTTCCCATTTTGCAAAATTTGCCTTCAAAAAACAGTAATAATTGATTTCATTCTTCATAAAAAAAATTATAAGTATAATTTAATTAAAATATTGTAATTAATTTATGTACCAATGATTCATCTTTTGACTTGGAGTTCAACACTGACTTGCAAACTGTGAAGCTGGTATCTAGTTGACTTTCCTTCTCTTTGACTGATTTTGAACATTCCTCTAAGCAACCTAAAATAAAAAAACAATGAGATTATTTGTTAAAATATTTAGGTAGTTACATTTGGTATAACAAAATAAATATTAAAATTTGAAAGTTCCATATTTTAACCTTCATGTCGAGTCAAGAAAACATTCTATTTACACCAAATTAAAATTATAAAATTGATTTAAAATATTGAAAATTTTATAATATTGAATATATATTTATTTTCTAAAACGAAACTAAATACATATATAAATAATAATAATTTTTTTATAAGATATTATAACATTTTTTTATAAAACATATTATAATAATGTTTATTATTTTAATTTAGTAAAAATGTTCACTAGTTTAATTTAACATTTTTTTAATTTTTTTAATGTTCGTTTAATTTATAATATTTTATTTTCTATATTTTTTATTATAAATTATAAATATTAATATTAATAAAAATATTACAATTGTAAATTGAATCAACAAAAAATATCAATTTATATTCTATTTAATTGGATCAAATCATATTTTTTTTTTAAAGTTATTCAAACCATATGTATACATTATTTACAAATAGATCAAATAGATCAAACCATCTTTATACATTATATTAGACTATACCTTGAATTGTATTAGCAAGATGATGAAACCTTTCAACAATAGAATCATGAAGTTCATCACTGGCCCACGTTGGAAAAACGAACAAACTCACACAAATTGCAACAATGAATCCCATCAAAATATTCAACAAACGTTCTCTTGCAATCTCCCAAACTTTAAATCCAGGTCTTGCTCCAGATACCACTACTAGATTAAATGTTAACATAAATACCACTACTCCATAATCATATCTCTTCTTTATTCTTGGAACAAATCGAAAATATGTAGCACATGATCCTACAATATTCACATATGTGTTAATATTCACACGCACTTATAAAATATTCTAGGATATTTATTTTTTTTATTTATCATACACTTACCAAGAATATACACTGATGATCCAATGAATATTGAGTTACCAACTCCTCCAATTTTTTGTGCCAATATTGCAGCTGAACATCCCAATCCTCCTCCAACAATAGTCCCTATTCCACGGTTGAACCCTTTTCCAAGTGTAGCTCCTAAGTAATATATATCTCATGATTAATTAATATGCATGCATCACATTACTATATATATATATAAATATAAATAATAAGAATCATAGGTTATATATATGATGATACCTGCATTGAATTCAAAGATGACAACGACAGTCATGATAGCCCACATTGCATTTTCACCAACTTGATCAAAAAGAGGATTCAAAATATAAAGAAGTGAAACCAAAACAAGTGAGAATCCAACTTTGGTGCTATGAATCAATTTCTTGATGTCTTGCTCACTTTTTTTCTGCTTATTATAATTTTTGATGTCTCCTGGATAGGAAGTAATTGGAACAATGGTTTTATTTTTCTTCATTTGAGTTATATTGTTGTTGTTTTCTTCCTCTTCATTTGTAATGGATATTACATGACTTGATTCCATTTTGTTTTTATTCACCTCTTTGGATTATCTATGACTAAGTCATTCTCTTGGGGAACCTCTATTTATACTATGGAATGTGAGTGGAGAGATTCATGAATGAAGGTTTAACTTGGGAAGTATCATTAGGCATGGAAAATAGGATCCCACTTTCTAAAATATCAAATGTTTTTTTTCTCCATATAAACTAGTATGATAAAATTATAATTATTATAAAAAGATAAAATAAAATGAATTTGATTACAAAGGCTAAGTAGCAGTATTGGACATGATGGAACTTTTTAGAATTCCTAATGAAGAAATATGGAGTATGAATACGAAGCACCAAAGATATCTTGTGCAAATAATACCTTCATTTGGACAAACAAATAGGAAGTTCTTAATTAGTAGTGGAACACGTATGTAATCACCAAGGAGAATGCTCTTTAAATAATGAAAAAAGAAAGATATATAAATTAAATAGGGCCTCAAAAAATATCATCACTAATGACAATGAGATGTGTGGATGATCTTTTATCTATTTTTTGTGCTGGGTTTCGTATTAGGATAAACTTATCTAAAAGCTTAATCAAATTGCTAAGAATGTTGCCCTAATTTGTTATGTTCGCACATACAAAGACCATGCCCCGACATTCTTAGTCTTCCAACTTTCTTCAACTTCTTTGTTGTTTTGTGAAGTTAGTGGCTATGCTAGATATTTGTTCGAGGTATATATGTTCAAAAATAATATCATGTTTCAAGTGACCTATAAGCAAGTACTGTCTATTAATAATTTATACGAAATTTGCAAATAAATAAATAAACTAACTAATGCAAACTACTATAGGTTTGTAAGCCCAAATTTGGCATGGTCTTCCTATTCATAATTATTTTTTTATAAGCAATCATATTAGTTTAAGGAATACTCAATCCATTTACATCTGCACTTCAAATTAACCATAACCAACATTCAATCCCTCTTATTTCTCTTTGCAAAGTCCAAAATTTTATTGATCACCACCACACCATCCAATATTTTTACTCTGAGGAATAAATGCAGACTGACACTTGGACTAGATTATCGATGATTTTGTAAATACTACTTATTAAGTAAATTGGACTAAATTCCTCAATTCTCTCAGGGTTTTGTGACTTACACTACTACAAAAAGGAAAAAGACAGTGCTTTTTTTTGACCTTTAACAGTTCTTTAAAGCGCTGTATAAAGCAGCGCTGCTAAAAGAAAAGACAACACTTTTTTTCAACGTAAAAGCACTGCCTTATATCCACTTTAGACAGCACTTTTAAAATAGACAACGCTTTTTTATATACCCCTTTAGCAGCGCTTGAGCTTTAGACAGCGCTTTGTAATTTTTTTCAGATAGGCTTTAGACAGCGCTTTCCTTTAAAAGTGATGTCTATTCCCCCACTTTAGACAGCACTTTCAGACTTTAAGCAGCGCTTTTTTTTAAAGTTTTTACAGCGCTTTTCTCCTAAAGCGCTGTCTATTATTTACAATTTTTTTTTAAAGAAATTATCTATTTTAATCATAATTTTTATCATATTTGGTAGCTTCATTCCAATATTTGGTAGCTTCATTCTAATATTTTGATCCAGGTTTTCAGAATTATCTTTTATGCTCCATATTTGGTAGCTTCATTCCAATAAAATATACATATATAAAAATTGCACATATATATAAATTGATGATATAGACAACAACAATTACAAAATTTATGATACAAGTTAAAATTCTACAAGTTAAAATGCCTAAAATATAAAATTGAATTTACATCTATACATCATTCTATCTTCGAGAATTCTCATGAAACAACAACATGAATATCTTAGCTCTATCTTCTACACATGTACCTATAAACCTGGAAAAAAAAACCAAATGATCGAAATTCATAACATGATAATATTAACGTTTCACTTTATTCGAATTTAATTTATACTCAAAACTCGAAAGTTCTCATCAAAGGAAATAAGACAATATACCTTAGCTTATAAAATTCTCAACCCGATAATGAATTGACACCATTCCTCCATAAGTTCATTCAATTGATCTTTTGAGTAATGTGCACAATTGAATTCCTCAAAGTACTACATATATAATAATATAACATAGTATGTGATTTAGTTAAAACAATATGTCATTTTATGAGAAACACAAAATATGAAAATAGTATGTAATTCTTAAGTTAGAAATCCATACCGTGGATGGAATCTCTAATCGATCCAAAAGAATGGTTTCTTTCATAAACCTCAACATAAAATAGCCACAATATATACCGTTACGCTGGCGAGGACACTACACATGGAAATAATATATATCAGGATATACCCCTTAAATTGTTTTATCAAGTATCATCACTAAAGTAAGCAAAACTAAATATCTCTTTGTGAAAATATACCTCCACTCTAATTCATGTAACGTAGTTGGCTCTACTTTTTGGTACTTGAATATCTCGTTGGGAGCGAAAAGCAAGTAGAACGCTATAATAAAATATAAACGGCTGTTTAGAACAATCTCACATAGAATCATAAACATAAACACAAATCCAGATATGTTGACCATAAATATAAACATAAACATAAACATAAACTTGAATATCTCTTTGGGAGCGAAACACTTACGTGTCAATCATCTGTTTCAAATCTGGATATTGTTGTACCCCAATTTTTGACCTAAGATCCCATCTTCATTGGCATTTTTATTCAAAGAAATTAAGGGCACGAAATATGGCCAGTTTTAACCTCTCAAACTTCTCCACAACTTCCTCAGAGCACAATCAAGATTTCATCATCACTGGTTTACCTGTGTATCAGTATGCTTTAGAATGCGAAGAAAGATCAAGTTTGCAAGTCGATTCAAAGCACTTAGACCAAAAAGCCAACTTTTTCAAGATCAAGTTCAAAGGATCATAAATTCCCAATATTTTGAGACAGTTCTTTTTGCATGTTGTCATATTATGCTTTGAAGGCTATTGGAATTTATTGAAACGTTATAGGTCGTTTTCATAACCTAGAATATTCTTAACCTCCAAGCCCCAATTCATGCCATAATTGTTCTCTAAAGATATTGAATTTTATGATGAGTTTGTTCATGACACATGATGATGAGTTTAAGGATTCTTTGATTTGTTTGGCGCTTGTTTCAAGTCACTTGCATTTGAGCATAAGTGATTGTCAAATTATAATGAATTTTTTTACCGAGGCTCTCAAGATACTATTTGTTTACTCAAGTACTAATGACAAGTTTGCAAATTTTCTTCAAGAGAAGTTCACAAAAGTCCATCAATTCTACAAGGACTATTTCTAAGGAAAAGTTCTTATTCAATTCAAGAATTTGATACAAACTTTAAAGAAAATTTCAAGATCATTGATTCAAGGATATTTGTCATGTTTAGTTCAAAAGTGGAGAATGCATCATGTTAATTTTTAGGCATATTTCAAGTTTGCAATTTCAAAAAAATCTCAAGACAAATCCATTCCAAACTCAAATGAAATATTTAAAGTTACATCCAAATTCAAGACTTGTTACAAATTTCATATCCCATTACAAATACTATAGCCACAAAATCACATGAAAAAACATTGCAAATCCTGAAGCCTATTGTAAACTATCCTTCATCAATCTTCAAAATACCAAGTCTAAGTCTATGCTACTATTTTCAAGCCCATTTTCCTTGCTTCATGATGCATCAAACTGCTCCATAACTTGTACCAATGTTGTCCATAAATCAGCTGCTCCAAACTCTGCATATCAGTCCAAACCTTGCTTCAAAATCATCCATACTGTATGCTGCTCCAAACTCTGCATCATCCATGCTGCAATGCTGTAAAAAACTGCATAATAATGCCAAAAAGCTCCTGTCAAACCTGTCCAAAAACAGTCCAAACTTTCACAAAAATAGGAAATGCAAATCCTGCATCAAAAAGGAAAATCAGCATATCACATTTTGTCCAAGACTCACAAATTTTCCCTCTAAAAAATTCATTCTGAAGGGGGGAAAACAAAGTAAAAAACCTGTAGAAATTTCTAATAACTTGGCTCGAAGTTGAGAACAAGCTTCAGTAACATCACCTTCTGAAAAAACAAAAAACACACAAAAACAAAAGAAAACAGTATCCCATCTACCCTCTCGAACTTTCTATTCACCATCAACAATACCCAATTCTGCAATCGTTAATAACCAAAAAAACATATTATTCCTTCAATCCAAGCCACTACCCCCTGTTCAAACATACTTCCTGCGTCCTACAACCGTAACCCACACAGAACCCCCTCCTGCTCATCATCTCCATTTAAACCTTCCTTTGCTAGCTACAAACCAATCTGCTACCAACTTCACCGATCTAATCACCCTTCATCTTCTCCGCTAGCAACTCGCCTCAACCACATCACCTTCACAAACACCACCATAATATCTCCATTCATCCAACGGACCACCTACAGAAAATTATTACTAACCTCTCCAATCTCGCCCTCACCACCATTTTCAAACCTTGTTCTAAACATAAGCTTATCACACCTCACACTCGGTAAACTTTCAATACACATTCGAAATCACTAATTCACAGACCGTGACAGAACAACAACATAGAGGAGGGTTTGGAACCGAAATAAGAAAGAAAAAAAGATTGAAAGCAAAAAGTACCATAAGGACCGACTCACCAGTTACTGAGTTTCTTCAGCGAGAAACGCGATTTCGTATCTGATTTCGTTTGGCTTGAGATACTCGTCGAGATCGTTACACACCAAGTGAAGCATTGTCATTGTTGGACCAAGAACAGAGGAAGTAGCGTGAACTGAAGCCTTCAACCAACAGAAATCGAACTCCACGGACAATCGGGCTTGAAGTCGTCGCCGCCGCGCTCGCGAGTTTGAGAGGAGGGAGACTTTGTTCACTTGCAAAAGATGTGAAAATGTAACATTTCTTTACCCTAATCCCTTTTCTAATTATTGTCCTATTATAACTCTTTTTTTTCATCTTCTCCAAAAACGTTAATGGAGGAAGACGATTTCACTCTCCCCGCCGTTTCCTTCGCTGCTCTCAAGCCTCACCTCTTCGTCGAAGCTCCAAAAGCCAACGTCGCAGTTGCGTTCTACAAGAACGTGTTCGGTGCTGGAGAGGTTTCGCGCACTCTGAACCCTAAGCGTAAGGCTGATCAGGAGATTCCTCATGTTCTCTCGGCTGAACTCAAGATCGCTGGCTCTTTGTTCCTTGTTGTTGATACCGTTGATGATTCCGCTACACCTGTGAAGAGTGGTGGAAACGGTGTCGTTTTTGCTTTGGAGACGGAGGACGTTGAAGGTGCGATAGCGAAGGCTGTGAAAGGTGGAGCGGTTGTGGACATTGAAGGTGCGTCTGGTGAGGGGCGTGTGGGGAAGGTAACTGATCCATACGGTTACGTTTGGCAGATTAGCGCTCCTTTGAAGAAGAGATGCTGGGATTTAGGGTTATCCAACCCCTTTGCATTTGTTAAAGATGGGCGGATCCGGGTCCAGCCTGACCCGGTCCGACCCATTGTTTTTTTTTAGTTCTTTTATAAACCTTTTTTCTATAAACCTGGGCTAGCTTCCTTTCCCTTTTAGGCCCAACCATTTTCACTACTCCTCCTCCAACAATCATTAGTTGCACCCTTACAATTTGTCTATTTTTAAATAATAATTAGTTTCGTTAATCTAGTTATCTTATAGATTTAATTATAAAAAACTATGTTTTAATTACCTAGATAATCTTAATTATTTAGATTAGTTTTAGACCTAATTTAATAACTTTAGAATTTTAATTTGATTAGATATAAGTTAGTAATGTTAGAACCTTTAATTAGTTTAGATACATTTTGATTACTTTAGAATTTTAATTTGGTCTTAGAATTTTAATCTTTAATTTAGAATTAATTTAGTTTAGATTTAAATTAGTAATTTTAATATAGTTTAGATTGAATTAGTAATTTTATAATGAATTTAGTTTATACTTAAACTAGTTTAGATGTAATTTAGTAACTTTAGAATTAATTTAGTTTTAGACCTAATTCAATAATATTAGAGTGTTAATTTATTTTAGATTTAATTTAATAACTTTCGAATTTTAGTTAGTAACTTTAGAATTTTAATTTAGTTTTAGTTAATAACTTCACAATTTTATTTAATTTAGTTAGACACTTTAGAATTTAAGTTTAGTTTACTTAATAACCTTAGAATTTCAAATTGGTCTAGATAATCTTTTAATTACACTTTTCTTTTATTCATGATTCTTCTTTGACCTTTCATCTAGTTTCTTACAATTTATCTTGTTGTCTACCTTATTCGTTTCTCATGGATTTTAACTATTTATGATTTCTTACTCGAATATTAGATCTACCCACTTATGATTAACTCCAAGGGAAAGAATTAAATTTGTTGACTTCATGTCATCAAGCACGTCTCATCCGATCGTGCGAATACCCTTTTTTTTTCATTTTTTGTTTGTTTACTATTTTTCTAAACTCAAGATAATTTTCCCAAAAGACTTCATTTTCAAACTCACACCTTTTTAAGTTAAAACTTCGACACTAGGTCGTCGTATCTTCAAAAATCTCGTCCACACCTATTTTTAGCCAAACGAACCATTTTAATCAAACAAACAATTTTAACCAAAAAACAGATATTTCAAAAGGTTCCTGCGGAGTACCGCAGATGCATTGGGTGTTAATACCTTCCCATTGTATAACTAACCCCCGAACTCTCGATCTCTTTTAAAAACGCATTGTATTTTCATTACTTTTAAATATTATTTTACATTGCATATTTTAGGGTTTTATTTCGCTCTTTTCCCTTTTCCCTTGGAAATAATAAAGCGCGGTGGCGACTCTTGCTTTTGTGAGTCAAGTTAATTAATAGCTTGATCTCCTATTTTCACCGCTACAGATATGTTGACCAATCATTGTATAACGAGTCCAGATAATACACAGTTTCTCTCATAGGATTAATCGCAACCAATAACCAGTGTCCACTGTAAGATTAAACAAAGATTAAATAATGGCCAAAAACGGAAAATTATAATAGATCAAGTTAGGATGAAAATCTAACCCGTTGCCAGTATTATATAGCAAAAAGAACAACTTCTCAGTATCTTTACTGGCCACGAATAAACCTAGTACATATGATATGACATCATCTGGCCTCGTTACAATCAATCCAGAATTGACAGTGTTAGGAGCTAAGAAGCCAAATCTTGCTTCTAATCCACGCGGGTGCATAATGTTGTCATATATAAACCTTAAATGAAAACATGATTAACATTATACTATATTCATTGAAATGAGGGATTAAATTGTTCATTTAATTAAACAAAGTTGATCGGAGTATACCTGATGTATATACCGATAACACCAAGGCCTAATTCCAAATGCCTAAAAACTTGCTCCATATCCTCTCTACCAATTGCTTCAAGATATTCAAAACCAAAGATATCTGCACTCATAGGTATAAGGCGGGTACCACCATCCGGAATATCTTTAATTCCTAAATATGTCCGAAGGCACGACCTAAACTGAGCAGTAGTTTTTTTTTGTGCCACAGTCTTCTTAGCAACATTCTTTTTTTGTGTGGAAATGTTGCTAATTTCAGACGTCTTACCCCTACTGAGTTGTGCAGTCTATTTAGCATGAATCTAGTTATCATATAATTAGTTAGGGGAAGTATAAAATCACAAATTAGTATTTCTCATAGCATAAATGTCATATAATTGTGTTACCTCAAATGATGCAATTGACTCAGTATCCCGCCTAATCCCCTTATCTTTTGTAATGGATTTTGTGGGAGTCTAACATTACCATGTAAACAAAATGTAAGTATAATTGCCATAAATTTTTTGAATAGTAAACGATTTTAAGCATACCTTATTATCTACGCAAACGAGGCTTGATGGCCATGCAACAAACGATCCTATTGCATCTGCCACCAATATTGCATATGCCACATCGTCAGGTAGTGGTAACAACGCACCCCCTCTAAAACGACGTCGACCGATACTTTCAAAAATCCCTCTGGGAGCGGTCTATAGTGAAGCATTTCTCCCGAGATATTATATACTTTTCCCTTGCCAACCATCCGATAAGTCGATGTCGACAAATAGAGTTGACACTGGGAAATGCCCTAAATTTAATAAATATGGTTATATAATTAATAAACATGGTTATATAGTTAATAAACATGGTTTTATAATTTATAAAGATGGTATATAATTACCTCGGGAATATTTTGTCCAAAGTTACCATTGATACTAGCTTTGTCACTAGTATCTTTAAAGCCTATAGCTTGATCGATTTCCTTTTCCTTTCTCAGCTCATAGACTTCTTGTTGTAACTTTTCCAACTTCTCCTGCAGTTCTTTATTGCTTGGAGATTTTGTCTTTGTTTTTTTTCCCAAGGATGTTGGAGTGATCCCAAATCCCTTACCCCTCACCCGACCAGAATACTCACGAATATCTAATACTCGTGAGAGTATTCTCCTACAATCAGTATCTTCGTCTAGAGGTATAGACTGGGAAAGACTCTCCTGAAATTCATATAAATATTGTAATTAAAGAATGATATGTTAATAAAAGAATTATGTAATTAAATAAATAAAATTATGATGTAATTAAATAAATAATGTTATACTTACACATCTCTCAAAAATTTGTTGAACTTTTTCTTCAACAGCTCCATCCTTACACACACGTGCTTCCTTCCATAAAATGTGTTCCGGAAGAGATGTTTCAGAACTATTCTCTTTTGTTAGCTACACATTAAGCCAAAAAACATGATTAAATATAAGTGTGTATATGTATAGATACTTTTCAATTTATAGATACTTACAATAGATTGTTGTAATCGTGCATATCCCATACGGCCTTTTCTGTATGGATATGATGGACTTGATGCTCGTTGTTGATTTACGACACTTAAGCTCTCAAATTTTTGGGTACTTCTTTTTGATTAAAAGTTTCCCATTCTTCAGCTGTAATCAAATCAACATATTTCCTTGGAAGCTCTGCATCAACAAATTTTTTATCTGCATCCCTTAGAAACTTGTTTGACAAGAAAGCTCTAAACCCTCTATGTAGTTTCCCGACCAATTTAAGAATATAATCTCTCCTTGTATCCTCAATGATGAACGACCTCTACAAAAATCATAAACAAAGTGCATTAGTATAAGTAACCAAAAATCATAAACAAAGTGTGTCATTAAAAACAATTAACATCACATATGGTACCTGTATCTCACTCCATATTTTATCTTTACCATCGTCCAATACTCTTGCTCTTCAATCTTCACATGTGATTGGAATTTCTCTTCTTACCAAGGAACCAAGATAACTTGTCAACGTTGAACCGTTAGGCTCAACGAGTTGGCCTTCTTAGCTCCAATGCACTTCATACTTTATTCCTTGGTCTCTATCCCGTATTATTCTCTTCATTATTGTTATTCCTCTTCTATATTCCATTTCCGTTTTACTAACGTTCTTATCTCCATCATGCACATAATCATCACGTGGGTGATCGTAGTTAGTAGCCATCTAACCTGTAATAAACATAAACATAAACCCAATATAAAAGCGAGTCAGAAGCGAGTCAAAAAATATATATAAAATGACAATGCCAAAAATTAACATAAACATAAACTTAAATGTAAACATAAGCATAAACATAAACATTTTAATATCCTACCTCTTTCACTAACATCTCTTTCCTTTCTTGGTTGGAACATGAATTACTTGCTTCTTAACAATACGGACGAATGGATTTATCCAAATTCCCTCATTATGATCATTTCTGATATATGATTCATCCGCTATAATATTCTTATCTTGATCATTTATAATATACGACTCATTTCGTATAATACATGACTCATTCTCATCATCAATACCACCTTGGTCTACACCGTTATCATCAACCACTTTGTTAGAAAAAAAGCACTATAGACCATTTTGTACTCGCCAGGTCAGTGACATAGAAAACTTGTTTAGCTTGAGAGGCTAGAATAAAAGGCTCTTCTTTGTACCCCTCTCTATGAAGATCCACTTGCAAAAATCCTGACATATCCATTCGTATGCCACCACTACTTACCCACTTGCAACCAAAGATAGGAATCTGAAACTTCTTGTAATCAAATACCCAAATATGCTCGATAACTCCAAAATATGACAGATTTGCATATTTGGGGTTTAGGTCCTTCATACTAGAAATGTGCATTGCTTCAGCAAGCACGGTGACACCACTATTTTGCATAATACTTTTATCATCTTGTTCTTTGGTATAAAATGTGTATCCATTAATTGTGTATGCGTTGTAGGAAAACACATGCAAACTTGGACCATATGCCAAACATCTCAACCTTTCTGTTATTGAAGTGGGATCTGAATGGAGTTTTGAAAAAATATGATCATTAAACCATGGTATAAAACTTTGATTGTGCTCCCGTACTATCCAATTTTCATTTCTATTCTGATTTAACCCTCAAAGTATATCCTTGTGCATTTCAACATATGGCTCAACCTCACTGTCATT